GAGCAGGATCTGTATGATGGGGTTAGGGCCGGTAGCAATAGCAAGAGCAAGGCAGTTTTCAGTCTAAATCCGTGTACATCTGCGCCCTTCTGTGCAGTTTGCAAATTCTTTCTTTGCATACAGTGCTGTGTTCATTTAGACTTCATCCTCAAACAAATATTGGCTTGTAAATATAAAAATACAGGTTTTAGATGATGGTTTAATTATTAACCAAGTCAATCCGGCACTGTGTTAAAAACTAACCAAGTCAACCCAAGTCTATGTTGACCTCATCCCTTGTCATGCCACCCTTTGCAAAAGTGATTGCAATCAAATCTTTGCAAAAACGGTCAATACGTTTTTTTCCATCAATTTAGAGGAATTATGGCTCATTCATTTTTGTGGAATTGGTTTAAACCGTTAATGACCTATTTAATGCACATTTCACACAGTCTATAGAAAGATTTTGACAAAGTCACTCCAAAATCTTCAAATTATTGAGCTTGAGCAATTCAGATGCATTTGCTGGCATGCTTTGGATCGTTGTCCAGCAGCATAACTCAAGTGCATCTTATCTTTTGGCCAGGAACTGATGGTTAGAAATTCTCGTTCAAGATTTGATGCCATTAAAGTGTCACCTCAAAATTTTGTGAAACATTTCAATGAGAAATTAGATACCTTTTATTGATTATTCAATCAAATTAACACAGATTATTGAGCTCCCCTTCACCAGTAAAAGGAAGAAGTGATTCAATGAACATATTACACAAAAAGTCATCTGCCAAGATCAGAAGCTCTTTAAGCATCGATGCAACAGTGCAAGAAAATGACACCACCTAGTGCTCTGATGTGTGTCTACTTAAATGCGTTTCTGTCAGTTTATTGTCTGCAATCTTAAACACAAGACGATACAACTAAATCCGTTTTAATGACCCATTAAAACACACTTTGCAACATGTGTAAGGTTAAAGCATTTCTAAGGAAATGCCTAAAATCATAAATTGAAGAGCAGTTTACTCGTTCCAAAATTTCAGACTAATCGGCGTAGCTTGATAGCACTTATGGGATGATCATAACTTGCCTTTACATGGGGTACTGCGGTGCAGTATGAATAATAAAGTAATAGACAGATGGAATTGTATTGACATAAATTTATGCAATAGTTTTGGGGCCATTGGAAAAACTAAATCTGACTTTAATTGCATAAAGTCAGTCTCAATATTCTGACCATAATTCTAGATGCCATCATCTCCAATAATGACAGATGTGTGAGTTACGGAGACGAAGAACTAACCTTTTTGGAGAAACATGTCAGATTGAAGAGATTATTTTTAACTTGACAAATTAAACAAAAAAGTAAAGTAAAAGCATGTTAATTATTCAACAGAAGAAAACGTTGTGGTCAGAGAATGGATTTTGCTCTTACTGACCTTGCCGCCACAATAATAGTAGGTGATTTTTTTTTTTTTATTTTAAATAAATGTCTTAAATGTATAATACCTTATGTACTAAACACCAATAGATTCTACATAAGGAAACTGTACAAACAAGCCTTTCACTTCTTATTAAATATAACATTTTAATGAGAAATAGATTATTATATGAAACATTCATTTAAAATTAGCTGATATAATAATCCCAACAAAAAGGCAAAATAATTACATAGGCAAGTTATTAGGTGTAAAAATGCTCAGACATAATCATGGATACATGTACAATAAGCAACACTGTGGTAGCAAAATGCCATACAAGTAAATGTGCTTGTCTTATGGACCTTGCAAGTGGCTTAAACTAAATTGCAGTATACAGTTTGTTTATCATATAAAACAGTCATAGATGGTCATGAGTCTAATCAGGTATATAAGACATGGCTGCCCTGTATTTTGTGCTAATGTACTCGGAGGGCATTTTTTTGAAATAATCTTTGTATTTCCTTTTAGTATTGATAATTCATCATAGTGTTACTGTAACACAGCGTCGTTACTGTGATAGAGATCCTATTTACACATACATTGTACAACAGGGGACAAAAATATGAACCATCCCTTTGAAATATCTGTTGGCTTGGTCTTGTAATCAATCCCCCGCCACCTCATGCACAAGCCTCCTCTTAAGGTTTAGTCTTCTGGAGAAGTTGAAACCAATATATTTGACCTACATTTATGGTCCTAATAATGAAACTAAATTATTCTCATTCTTTTTTTTTTTTTTTTTAAATGTATGTTTTTCAACTCTAACCATATTAAAGGGATCGATAACAGGCACTTAATAATAATAACAAAAAATAAATAAATAAATAATAATAATAATTTTGTAACAGTTTATTTGGATAGTCCAATACTGAATACTTGATAAATGCGGGATGCATTTTCGTGGCCAATTAGTCTGCTTGTTTTACTTTTTACTGTGTCTCAGTGTTGATACTTCTGTGTAAATGGATCATCTTTACCTTTTCATTGATTTATACAGTGAGTGCAATTTCACAATTTAGCTTTTTGTTTTTTCTTTTGTTTTTTACGTCAGGATTAGTAGGTTTTAAAGCCAGGGGGGTGGAGGACGTGAAATGCAATGTTCAACCATGATTGCCGCACTGGTTACAGCATTTTGCAGAGATGTTGAGCCTTTGAACATACATCTACAGTAAAACTACAATGGAGACAATAGCTTAACATGCATAAGCACCAAGTAATACCACAACACATGTACTTTCAATGTATGGCATTGTAGCAGCATTGTTATGGTTGTTTCTTTACATAACCAAGTAACCGACAATCAGTGGTGATTATACTAAGCTATTTACGCTCCAGGGAGTTTATTCAAGAGATGACGCAAACCTTCTTTGTGTGTGTGTGTAAAGTCACTAATGCGCTCAAGAAATCAGGTGTAACATGGAAATATATCAACTGAGACACAGCGTTTCTTTTCCACTGGCTTGCAAAAAACTGAGAGAGACTGGCAGTGTCCAAAAAAGAGCCAATAATAAGCTAAACATTTTTACAACTAAGAAGTATTGTCTTAAACTTTAGCTAATAGCTTTCTGAATGAGATAATCCAGGTTACTGATGGCTAATATGAAGGAACAAATCCTTACTATCATCTTTTCAAGAAAATTAATCATGTTGAGATTTGTTGCCAAACAATTACCAAGCAATTCTTGATCTAAAGTAGTAAAAGGGCTTAAAGACAGACAGACAGCAGGGAAAACAAAAACCACAGACTATTGAATAAATAACGAAAAAAAAGTGAAATTATGATGACACCAAACCAGAAATGACTGCATTACATTAATTCTGGAAGCTCGGCCAGATAGATCAAGAAAAAGCTGGCTTTGTGTTGAAGAATGCATTGAAATCGACTGAAATTGGAGCTCCCAAAACCAATTTTATTAAATGCTTTTGTGATTCCAATTTCATTGTTGCTTGCGTCAAGTCCTTCACAACACAGGATGATTTGCACATCTATGTCTTGAAATGTTTCCTCCAAATTTGTCTCACAACAATAACAGCAGTTATTGGTAAAGAACACAAGAAAATACAGCACAAAAAGTACACATCATGATATTAACAGACATTAAATTAACGACACAACAAAAAAATATATCAAAAAAAAGAAATGATTTCTTTTTTTTAAAATATATGAGTAGTTTTTTTTTTTTTTTTTTTTTTTTTTTAAAGCTGACACATTTACTCCATAAGCTAATTTGTGTTTCAGGGGACAGCAATATATAATATATATTTTTTTTATGTGACACTTTGTAAAAGAAAATATTGGATTTGCACAACAAACCATGTTTGTTTTTGCAGTGAACATTTAGTGAATGAGTCCACTTGCAGATATCAATCACATCGTTGTGTTTCAGTATTGGATTACCAAAATAAAATGTGACAATCAAATACATAGGTAGTGTTTTATGTTTAAGACTGAGTGTGTTGAACACAGTTGCAGTTCTTTTTATACCTCCAGCAACATGCAGAAAATGTCAAACTTCTTAGCTCAAAACAAAAAAAAAAAAGAGAGAAAGTTTTACATGTGGTCATAAAAAGCTTACGGAGTAACACTTTCAAAAGGTATTATAAGCTTTAATATAAGATTTTCTTTTTTTCCTGCAGCACAAAATACAAGTTCAATGGCTTTAACGACACAATTTCACTCAACATGTTATGTCTCCACTCGTCATTTTCCTTTTTGCTGTGCTCTTGTCTGAAATCTTCTGAGAGAGTTGAACAAAGACATATAAATGGAACAGGTACAGGGTGAACTTCATGACTTACTGTATGTCTACCTCAGGGAAGTGTATGGCTTTAGGTTGTCTTGCAAATGTGGCTGAATGATGAATGTTTACATTTTGCTCTCAGTGCTGAAAAGCTCCACAGATCAGCAGTCACAACATGTACATTTTGCAAAGCTGTACAAAATAGCATTGATTGTTATAATCTTCAGACCACAATATTGCATTCACGCACCAGGAGGTATACTGCCTTGTGAAAAAAAAAATAAAATAAAAAAAAATAAAACCCAACAAAAAAACACACAGCTGGAATTTCATACACGGTGGGGGAGAAAAGCGCTCAAAATGCAAGATTCAGCAGAGACTTGGGTCAGTCTCAAGTGACACATTCAATTAAACAGCGTTAAGCATTAAGCCCCCCCCAAAAAAAATAAAATAAAAGAGGTTTACAGACACACTCGCACACATTCACCCACACATATGTATATATAAACAGCTGGCTTTTGTTTTCAACATGACTATCCATTACTGCCCTGCTGTGTGCCTCGTGTATCAGAACAATGACAGTGTTAAATACCTTTCTAAAAGCAATGCAGATTCACTGTGGGTTCTGAAACGTAAGAAATGTGATGACTACTTACTCGCTAGAGCTTTAAATTCCTTACAATGTATAAACATTTTAATACTAAACTGTCTGTTATGTTTGAAATACTTTGCCCAGTAGGTGAAATAAACTGAAATCTGGTCTGCCATTGTGTTTTCTGTACCTTTAAAAATGTCATCTTTTTTTTTTCCTCAAGAAAGAATGGCAGTATCAGATGCAACCTTTGATCCCTTATGTTATAATCAAGGCCTCCTTTTCATCCAGTACATATATATACTTGCTTTTTTTTTCTCCACGTTCTCTTTTTAAGGTTCTTTAAGGGAATTACAGACATGCTGGGACAAATATGATACAGTCCATACAGTGTTTCCATTGATCTTTTTTCATTTTTTTTTTTTTTTTATCTGCCAGAAAAGCTTTTCATCACTGCCTCTTTCTCTTTTTTTTAAGAATTATACTTACAAAGTTAATATTACATCAAAAGGCAGAAAAGGTCAAAAAAGAAAAGAGAAAAAAATAAGACTAACATCTCCTTGTAGTTAATTAGTTGGGTGTTTCTCTGTTGCTTACCGTCCTTAACATTAATGTTTTTACTCAACAAAGTTTTGCAGTCAGGTGGTCTGATTGTTTGAGTATTTCTGTGCTGTACATGTCCAAGGCATGGTTCACTCGAATCATCTCGCTGTTGTTGAGCTTCAGCCTATGCTTCAGCATACAAGAGAAAAGGTCCAGCTGTGGTTTGCCGGGTGCAGAAGGGGGGGCTAGGCGGTTAATCCGATCCCTAATGTCCAGCAGCAGTAGCATCACAGATGAGGACGAGTAGAACTGAGTTCCTTGTGTATATGACTGGTTAACCTGCTGCACGGCGCTACGCAGCAGGTCGGCGTTAAACCGCAGGCTGTAACCAAACACCTGGATATCGGAGATCTTTATGTAGATCTGCCGCTTGTTGGGGTCCGCGAGATCCACCGGACCCTGTCCCGTGTCGTTACGGAGGCCAGTCGGAACCTTAGCACGGCTGCGCAGGTAAATGTGCACAGTCTCAAAGAAGGTCTTCCACCTGTTACCCAGCAGGAGGGTCCAGTTGAAGCACTGCGAGTTCTGCAGTCGCACCTTTTCCCACCGTGGGTAACCGTGTTCACCAAAGGGCATGCTCCAGCCTTCTGAGTGGCTGCCACTGAATGGGTTAACATAAACAAAGAACATGGGATCAATGCTGCTGTTTCGCATCTGACAGATCTTCATTGACAAACCGATGATCATGTGGAGGTAGTCCATCCGATTTTTGTTACTTTTCAGAGTCAGGGACATACGCTTGCGCCATCGCGGGTCGAAGAATGTCTCCAGCCGGATCTCATTGCTGATGAAAGTGGTGTGTATGTACAACCGTGAATCCATTTTCTGCAGCAAGTATTTCAGCTCCAGGTCCTGAAAGTCCAGATCGGTTTCAAAACTGATGAACTGCTCGCTGCGTTCTGAGTCCACATTCTGCGGCTCGCAGCGGCCGCGGTACAGCTTGTAGCCTTTGTTGCAGGAGCCACATTGTGAGATGTTGGCCAGGCTGCACATGGCACAGCTGTTGTTGCCGCCTATGACACACGGGATGGGTCGCTGACACAAAGTTGCACCTGTGTGGCACACACATGCCTTTTGGCTCTCCAGGAAGGTCCCCCAGAACCCGTTCTCATTGCAGTACAGGAAGGACTGAACCCTGTTGAGCCACTGCATCACAGATCTGGAGAGATAGAAGGAAAAGAAAAAGAACAAAACCATGAGCAGCGAGTAGAATTTTGATTAGGTCAGATATGCGTGTCTTTTTTTGGTTGTTTTGTTTATATGAAACGGCTGCTCTCTATATAAAACACTCAGCATAAAGTTTGGAAGAAAAAAATATGATGTCCCTCAAGGGAAAAGAATTGCATTATGATAGGAAGCATTAATTGCTATTCTTATCTAGTGTATTCTTTCCCTCAAGGCATCTAGCCTTGTCATCTTGACAGTGCTGTAGCTTCTTTTCTGACTAGAGGAGGTGACTTCTGATTTCTCAGAGAAGCTGGCAAGTGAAGGTTAGTTTATATATTATTGAAGTTTTGTATAATAACTCTGACGTTTGACACTGCATTCTGAGCAGGGCAAGTAAAAGCAAAGTCTAAAATATAGCTTCATTTAAAAGTACACAGAACCACATATTGCTTTTTGGCGTTTTTTGATCAAACTGAAAGGCAAATGAAAATCCTTCCTCTGGTTCTTATTTTCTTACTGCAGACTGAGAAATGGACAAGTGTTAGGTATTATGTTTTCTTCAAGGCAATCAGAAAAACTTTTATAGATGTTAATTATAAAAATGCATTATTTTTTCAAAAGTGTTCAAAATGTGCTTTCTTGTCAAGTGAAATACATTGACAACAATGGTTGTTTTAATGAAAAAGAAAAGAACTTAATGAAATTCGAAGACAAATTAATTATTGATCTCCAGCAATGTCAACATATTCAACATGTTCTTGATGTTGGCATGATCTATTTAGATTTATTTCTTTTAGAGTTCAAACACTGGAAAAAATAATGATTTCCAGTTAGGATTGTTTTTTTTGTTTTTAAACTTAAAAAAGCTTTGGGATAATTCTTCAGTAGTTTCTTGGTGTCTGTGCCGTACCACTGGCGATCTCTGTTAGCTCATCTTTGTTTACTGTCATTTCCTTCACATAGGATCAGAGATACAATTCAATCTTTAATCAGTTCTGTCCTTTTGCTTGTGTTTCTCTATATGCGTATCTATTTTTCTAAAGGCATTAACACTTTTGGCAAACCTTGTCTTACAGCTTTTTCTTCTGTCAATAAAATTTCAACTTATAAATGTTCTGTTCTTTGCCAAGTTCTACAATTGATTAAGCCTACGTCCAAGTGTATAAATCACACACCACGGACTATTATGTCAACAATATTTATACTCACACTCAGCTCAAATGTACGTATTATTTAAGATACATTAAAGCATGAAAATGTAGCAGGGTGTATAGCAGCCAATAATGTAATAGTGGCTGATAATGTGATGCATGCCAGGAGAATAATTCTTTTATAGTAACAAAGCTAATTAAACAACAATGCATCAGAGATATTATTATGTGGCAATAAGAAAGTCACATTTTATCCATCATGTTATATGGTAATACATTGTTCACTAGTAAATACATTACTGGTATAGAAATAAAAATATTAAACCATCACCAATAATGACACACCTCAGAAACAGGACTACATAACTTGGAAATAGAAGATTTTTAGCTTTTTTTTGTTTTTTATTTATTTATTTTTAAATCAAATATGGGTATCTTAATCTTCCTGTCAATCCATCAAGGGTGAGTGCTGACATAAGAAGTTATTCAACAGAATCTTTATTTTAAATATTGGGGCTTTGGGAGATATGCTAGTCAGTAATTTCATCTATGGAAAATATAGTTATTACATTATTTTTATGCCACACCATTATTATAATAACCCAGCCAATGGTTATTATATAATCTTTAGGCTTTACTTTATAACATTAATGGTATGTTATTATTTTATTACCTTTATTACATATAGATGTGCAAAATTATTGTTAATGGCCAGTGCTTAAGCAAGCAAATAATAATAATAATAATAATAATAATAATAATAATAATAATAAACTAATGGTTTGAGCAAAAATTGTTAGACTGACAGGACAGAAATCTTGTTTGACACAAACCTTTCGGTGTCCATTTTTGTAGTGGACGTTTTGATTGATGCTAAGTTGTTATAAAGAGTGAAAAGTGATCTGATGAGAAAGAAATGCAATCAAAAAAAATCTTTGCTATTCCTTTTGGCCCTACGACAAACCGAAATACTATAAGTATATCTATGAGCTCAGAAAGAGTGTTAATGAGGACACGGCAGCTGTTATCAATCTGTCATTCTGATTGGATTAGAACAGAACGTTTGCTTTAAAAGGGAATGGTGCTTGACATCCTCCCTCTCGTCTTAATCATGGCTGACTTTCAGAAAACACATGCTAACAGCATTGGCTTGCTTTAATAGGGACTTCACGAGTCAAATTATTCAATTATTGAATCACCAAGAACTTCAAGGAGAAAGTTTAGAGCTGCAGTATGTGAGTTTTATAAACACGTTTCTTTAAATATCTGTTAAAACTATCACTATTTACTGACAGCATGATATGAGACAAATGATCTGTGAAAAAAAAAAAAAAGTTCCTCTGCCTCCTCCATGTGATCCTACAGCCATCTGCAAAAATACACCACTCGGTCAGAAACAACCAATCAGAGCCAGGAGGAAGGTCTTAGCACTATCGTCTTGCAGTCTCAAAGCTATTGGTTTGATTCTTCCTGCCACATGTCGATGTGCCCCTTGGCAGATAGGAAGGAAACTTGGGGCTGCCTATTGATCTCCAGATGAGTGTATGAATCCATGCACATTTGACAGATCGATTGGTTGAATGTGGCTCTATGAGTGAATAGCATTTCTAGACATAAAAATGCTCTTTCCTATGATTGGAATTTCTAGAAATCCTTTTCTTTGATTAGAAAAGCATTTTCAGTGAGTCATGTGACATACCAAAAATAAAGCATCCAGAGATCATCCATTTGTTAGGTACCTTTCATCCAAAAGAATGGCTCTTTTCTAATTCTTCCCCAAAACACTGTCATGAATAAGTGGGCATGAAAACAAAATGATAAATGGCTCTATAGTGATAATAAGAGAAGGTATCTTACATTCATTTAATTAAAAAAAATGCAATTTATCCAAGATATGTTTACTGAAAACCTACCTACAAAGGACTTATGATATGTGCCATGTTAAGTAGAATTTATGACTCTTTTGTTGTATGGAGACTGAGGTATTAAAACGGGTTTGACCCTGGACATGAATAATTAAACCGAGCATATAAACTGGATGCAAATGACTTGGCTCGGAATGATGCAACTCCATATATGTCACTATTAATCATTTACATGAAGATTCCTACGTTCGTTGTACCTGAAGCAAGCTACTAATAAAGAAAATGCACTAGTAAATCTATTTAGGGGTTCCACTGTGAGCGATCACAACAAGAATTTATGATGGTTGTAATGAATGGAAACACAGACCAGAGCAATGGTAAACTTTCTATGTGTAGTTTTTTTATTATAGCTACCTAATAATACGCTACCTTCCTTACATCAAGTGAAATATTTACTTACTGGCTGTAACTTTCTACAAGTGGGATAGCAAATAGTCAAAATTCTAAGCTGTAATTTTGGATTAGTTTGCTCTGTATCATTGTGCCTAAATAAATACAACAACAAAGTTCCTCTTTTATTATCATGAATCCATTTTGTAATTAAACTAAGAGCTGCGAGGGACCCAATTTATCTTTTGGCCCATTAGTAAGAATACATGTCTGTGCAAGAAAATTAAATAAAACCTGCTTCTTTGAAGTTTCATTAAGACCAACAACATATTACAGTACTTCTATTTTTAACTAAAGTATGAATATGCTGTTAATTTGCTCAATATGCAATGCCCCAAGCACTGAAACACCATTAAGTATGTTCTCTAGGCAACACGGCATAACAGCAGCTTTTACTTTTCCGTTTCCTCATCTAATTTTCTTCTGCAGAACATTGCAGCACTTACACAAATGCAACCCAAGACTGTCTAAAAAGCATTGGGTTCTTATGTCTTTTGTGTATGACATACTTATATTTGCCACCAAGACAATGACATTGACGTTCTCTTCTTATCTCAGTAGCATCAAGCCATTAGCACTTTGGTGGGTTTAAGTGTGTTGTCATGTGCATTTTTAAAATTTCAATATGTACAGTAGAAGTGCTGTAGATGTTAATGGGAATGAAAATGAGGTCAAATGTATAACTGTCAATTTTACATGCATGGTTCCCATGAGGACGTCCACGATTCCTAGCTTATTTATTAGACAGGTATTGTTCCAGAGACTGTCTTGTAGGTGATGTAATCAAAAGCCTCTCTGAAGTGTCTTTATTTAAAGGTTGGAAAGTCTCTTACAATAGGAATGCAGGATATTTCAAATCCTCAATTAACATAACATCACAGTACATATTCAAGTAAAGTTTTAAATTGTAGTATGTTAAGGATTTCATTGCTGTCCTTTTTAAGGGTCAGATGTAAAAATGGGAAGATTTCAAATTACTTCTTTGCTGGGGTATGTAGCTAATGTGTATCAGGTCAGCTGTCTTACTAAAGACTATTTATTATTTATTTTGATCATGTTCTTCAATGTTAGAGGTTCATATTCATTTTCTTGATATTTGTGTGTTCCCACAAACTTCTAACAATAGTTTGCTGACACTTTTGGCATGTCTCTTGGCAGATCAGTTGTAACAGAGGCAGGTTTGTAGGTCTTCATATGCACATTCATCTCTGCCCACAGATTTTGAATGAGACTGAGATTTGGGCTTTATAATGGTAATAGCTAAGAAAGCTTTCCACTTGTTGATATCTCATGATCCTGCCGCCTTCTGTGCTTCACAGCTGGATGGTGTTCCAAGGTTTGTAAGTTTTTCCCTTTTTCCTTCAAATGTAATGATTGCCTTTATGGACAAAAACATCAGGCCACAAGACATGTTTACAGAAACTACTTTTTCTTTTTTTTTTCTTTTTTTTGCATTTGTCAACTGTAATTCTGTCTCTATTATGTTCAATGATGGAGAAAATACTTATTTCCTTTTGAGTGTCTGTCATGGCTACTCAGAATTAGCTCCAAAAAAAAAAAAAAAAGAAAAGAATGTCAGAGTAGTTTCTGAGGAGGAGGTTCTCGACACACTTAAAATAAAAAGCACTCGCAGAGAGGTTTCTGGTTCAACTTATAAAAGTAACAGAAATATTCTCCAGGCTGACTTCATACAAAACTCAAATATAAACGTCATTTTGTGATACAAAAATTGTTGCAGTCGTCACTCCATCACTGCAAAACAATCAGACCAAGCACAGCAGCTGTCTTTTCTTCTTAATCGCAGCAGGAGGTTGACCTAACTAGGAAGAGGCCCTAAGCAAAAAATAAATAAATAAATAATAGCTCATCTACCATCTGTAATCATTAGCATCATTTTGGATCAATAATAACATCATTTAGCAAATAAGTAAGTTGTTAAATACTTAATAGGCTCCAACAGTGGCCTTCAGGTTTTTCTGTGTGTCTGGAAGGACCATTTCTGGTTTTAAGTGTTTTGCAACTTCATAGTGATTTTCTTTGGGATTGGTGTGCATTTAGTTCGATCCATCTTCTCTTCAACTCTGATCGTCTTCCACAAAAACATTCCTAAAGAATCCTATGGTCATCCTAAATATGTATTTCAACAATAATCCGTGCCACTCTCCTATTGTATAGGGATAATATTTGTCTTGTTAACAGGCTCCCTCACCTGAGCTTTGGAGCTTAGCTCCTCCTCCAGAGATACTTTGTCATTATCCTATCACGTCACATTGATTTGCTGTTCTGTGTTGCTCTGCCACATAAAGATAGACTAAAAATTATGGTTGCAACATGAAAATATAAAACAAAAGTCTAAAGGGTAAACATACCTTTACAAGACACTATGTGGGCTGATATGTACTGAATAAGCTTTGCTTACAATTACCTGTTACAGGCCGCAGAGGTAAGGCATGAGACTTGGAGCCTTTATTGGTAACAGAAGAGCACTTTATTTCAGTAAGAGAAGGGTAACGATGAGAGCTGATGTTTAATGATTTATGGCATGACTGACTGCCAAGCTAAACTCACAGCAGGTGAAAAAGCTTTTACACAGCTTTCTAGCATTGCATCTTTGAAACAGTCATAAAGGATCAAACACCTCTGTTCCAAAATGAACAATGAAAAATGAACATGGGGAGTTTGAGTTTGAGGGGAAATTGCATTGTGCACAACAACCGCAACTCCCCTGCAGAACATATATGAGACCTAAAATATACATGATGAAATCAAATAAATCCACCATCTGATGCAAAGCTGTTTCACACAGGCAAACAAATAAACAAGCTGCTCTTATTTCCTGTGCCATCAGGCACTCTCGATGTTTACTCCACGGAAGAGGAAGCACATACTGCAGTTCTTTGATAACACTTCAGAACAGACCCCATGCCAACTCTCACACAAATGTGGGTGTGATCCTTTCTGTCAGGGACAGAAGACAATGGCTGATTTTCAGGCCACTTAAATCAATATTTTACATATTCTTTCCCCATTTTTATGGTGACATAACTAATGCTGGACAGTTTTTTTTGCTGGCATTTCATCTGGCACTCCCCATTTTGTGTTTTTCCTTTTTTTTTTGAGTTGTGTTTTTTGATTTGCGAGAGCAGATTGGGGAAATTCCTGAAAGTTCCTGCAGCGTTGACACTGTGGCACATCAGCAGCAAGGCTCTTAAGCTGCAACTGCAGTACGTGGTGACAGATGTGTGCAATGACCTAACAAGAAAACTCCCACAGCTACATTTTCTTTTAAGACTGCTAAGTGAAATAACAAGAGTAAGCTACAGCGTTTTGTGCATGTGCAAGTCTCAGCACTAAATAGATTTGATATAAAGTAAAAGCACAGCATTGAAGAAAAATGTATTAGAAATTGCATGTTTGATTACTGTGCTATACAAAAAAAAAGGTATATCCAGCAATATTATTTTATTTAAAAAATAATAACATAAACACCAAGTCTTTGGTTCAGTAAATCCCCATGGATATTATTTTCGCTCACCTCTCTCTTGGCATTTGGTGGCTGGGATTGTGAAGACAGCGGATGCTGAGGCTGAATAGCTTGCGGGCGGTGCGCTGGATTTTGAGCCGCTGGATCTCCAGGGAACTCTGAAGGAGTCTGTAACGGGCCTGCAGGTCCCAGTCGCTGCCCCACAAAAGATGCACACTGCTGATGGGCAAAAAATGAGTGGACGGGAGTCTCTTCAGGAATGACTTGAACTCATCTAGAGGACAGTGGAGGGACAAGATGGGACAAAACAAAACGTAACACAGGATAAAGACTGAAATTCAACAGAAGTAATTTGCAGCCAGATGAAGACAAATTTACTGACACAAAACATTTAACTATGACTATTCCTCATTACACAGTCTCTTACAGACAGGCCAGAGTCCTGAGTCCTCTCTTTTGCACTTTATTCTGTAGTATAACCCTAACATATTAAGCTTTAGGGACTGAGATGACATAGAATGAATTTATTGAACAGTTTTATTGTTGATTTAGCAGAATGTTTTTAATATTTACACCTCAAATCTTTTTTATCTTACTGGTAGAGTTCACCAGACTATTATTTAATATGTCCTAGTATTTCATGATGAGATGTACTCCCCATGGAGGAGAAACAAGGCCACAGTATTATGAACGCTTCACCAAACTGAACAGTGGGATGAGCTGTTTTGTATTCAGATGGTCATTCTTTGTTTCATATCAAACCCACTTTAAGTGGAAAGCTCAATTTTAGTCTCACCTAACCAAAGCACTCAATCCAAGCAGAATTCAGAAAACTCCACATATCCGTTTGTGATGGTAGGGCAGACTATGCTTTTGCTTTTTTTTTTTTTTTAGCATATTGTATGGTATATAGACAGCATTCAGTCGCTGTCGTGAAGACTTAGTAAACTCAAGGGTATAATTTGTTGGTGTAAAAATGCAGTTTAAAAAACCAATTAAAGGAGAAATGTGACTGAGTTATTTTTCACTGTATAAAAGTAGTAAAAAAAATACGATCCACATTTGAAGATCATTGTTTTCCTATTCTTTAAAAGTTGCCAATGATGTTTTCCTCTGCATCTTTGGTTTGAAAATTTAAGGCTGATTCTGTTGTTCAAGTGCAGAAAATAAGACTCTGGAAGTGGTAATCATCCTGTCCTCTCAGCTCTTGGGTACCTAGATTACTGCCCCCACATTTTCTTCAGCCAGTCTTAGTGGTTGTCCAAGTGGCTATCACACAGCCTAGGATAAAATTTTCTTGTTTCCTCTTGAGACCACTGTTTTGTTTTGTTTTTGTTGATTTCTTAGCAACAATCGATTTAAGATGTTTCTTAAAATTTAACTAAAATTATTTTATGCCTGTTCGCATTGTGATATACTAAAGTTAAATGATTCAGCAAGGCTTTAATATGATCTAAAGGAATTTAATCTTGAGTAAATGGAAAGAAATAATTCATATCCTAAATGTCGGCTCATCAAGATTGGGTTGAAGATGTTTGCTAAATACAACAATAAGAACTGTTCACATCCTGAAATGTTAAAATGAAATGTTTTTTTCAAACGTAATATTTTCTAAATAAATTTAATCTTGAATACTAAAAGCACATGTTAAAATAGCAATACATTAAATATTAGCTCAATAATGCCAGCAATATTTAATGAATCATTTAAAGAAGAGACAAAACACCAGAAACCTCAAACCATTACACTTTTACAGCTGAGGAGATGTAAAATTATAAACCTAAAACAAAACGTACGGAATGAATAAAAACGCAGTTTAGCATGAACGCAAACCACCAAAAGCTTTGGCACACTCAGAACATAGATCCACATTTTCAAGAAGTGCACCTGGAAAACATGCCGGCACTCTCCTAGACATGTCCTCAAGACATTTTAACAGTATTAACCAGAGTTAAGAGCTCTTTTTCAGTCACAGCTGGGAAATGTCAGGAATTCCTCCACCCTCCTCCCTGGCATGTCAGAACTCAGATTTCCCTTTTTCTTCAAAGGAGCCAGGATCCATCTCCTCCCCTGGTTTGAACTTGCCACAAACCTCCACCCAGCTTTCACAGATGACATAAACCGTCTTTAATTCTTTCCTAAACAACTCTGAGCGACACCAGCACCTAGCATTCAGAACTCTGTCAACATGAAAAAAAGAAGCGACATTATCATATTGTGCCCCAGTGGCAGATATGCAAACCCTTTTATACAAGCTTCAAAGACTTCAAGTATCATTTTCCTTTACAGAGCAACCAAATAGTCCACATGGTGGTTCTTATCCGAACCCACCCAGCACACCTTGTCGAAAGACTAGAACTCATAATTTAACTTTTCCCTCATTTCATATCAATTTGTTTGCTGACATCAGTTGCAAATATTTGAACTGAAAGTTTTTTTAACCAGCCAGATGCCACTTTATAGCGGCAGCCACCAGTTTGCTGGAAACTCTGGCAAAGGCGTAGATAAAGCCTTGAAAAAAGCTCACATTGGAGTAGAAAAATATCACCCTGAAAATTTTAGAGGATGCCAATTTTTGAGTATATTTATTTAGTAGGGGGAAAAAAAAATCATATTCACAAATGTTTGTTTTTCAAAAAATAGAAATCGTTTCAAACATCTTGGCACTTTCTACAATTCCCTTTGGTCAAAAGATTGTCAGTCTGTCTCTCTGTCTCTCTGTTGCATGCTTTGCAGTCGTTAACTAGTTTCATTGCTCTTCACATGAACATCTCACAAACCGAGATAGACTTTAGCTGTGATTACTGTGATAACCGTTGCGCAATGTGTCATTGTGAGTGCAGTGTGTGTCTTTTTGTAATAACGGGGGAGACAATTCAACTAACACTAACAGCATGCAGTAATTTAGCATGCACTGTGAACTGGCACAGTATGCACAATGAACGTGTTGTCACTGGAGAAACTGGGCTACTCCCGTGAAGCAACGGTGGGGCGTCTGTCACATCTAATAATCCCCTTTTAAAATCATTGAGACGTTTAAAGCTGAAACAGAAATGTGAATATTGTTGTCAAGGTTATTGATTGATTTTTTATTTTATTTTTTATTTTAGTTGCCAAAAGCCCAATATATACTTTCATATACCACAAAATAATATTACACCATCTTCATCCCAAGCAGCTGCCAGAACATTAGTGAGCCTCAGACCACACAGCTAGCCAGAGCAGCAGCAGCAGCAGCTGTCCTCACAGCCAGGGAGTTTACACTGTCAAAGCTCTTGCCTTCTGATAGGATTACCAAGCAATGGATGTGTCATGTCCAGTGTGAGATCATCTTCTTTCTGAACCTAAAGAACATATCCCTAGAGAGGCAGTGTTGAAACAACTGACTATTGATTCCCAGAAATGTAATCAATGTCACTACAATGCAATGCAAATTAATTTCTACAACTCTACATCTTTTGTCTTTGCTGTACTCATTCATTTCACTTTGTTGAACATTAACATGTATGTATATGTGTCTCAAGGAGTTTACACTAGGAACCCCTTCAATTCACACTGATATTTAACTTATTAATCAGAGTGAGACATAGGTGCTGCCTTGGAGCAGCAATGCTCTATTCTTTCCACAATGTCCAAATTTGACATGTATTTTCATCACTTTTTGTTGAAAACAGAAGCCTCTACAGGATAACCCTTTTTCTGCATCTTTTGCATCTTATGTGCATGTTTTTTTTTTTTCTCCATACTTAAAAAGCTCTCACAAAATAAAATAAATAAATAAATAAAAATGCCTGTAGAAGGAATAACAAACAAACTTCAAGTCTTTTGATAGTCACAGAGGGGAGCCAGGTTAAACTATTTTGTAGGAGTTTTCAGCTTACCAGAGTTTTCAAAATCTTTATAAGAGGCTGCCCAGGACTCAGACATCACCAGCAGGGTGTTTTCCATGATCTGGATGTCAGTGATGGGACAGTTGCACTGGGGATAGTCATCAGCACACTGACAGATGCACTGGTTGTTGCGGCACACATATTCACCCTCTCCGTTGCACATGATGTAGCTCAGAGCTGACTGGACAAATTTCTCTTGCAGGTATTCTGGGAATATGACCTGAAGGCCTGAAACAAACAAAAAAAAAAGTGAAGTTTTGCTTAAAAAATGTGACAACCCCCATTTTTCTTTCTTTTTTTAACAATATACTAGATACATGATTGAGAAAAGCTTTGTTTAACTTTCTTCATGTAACATAGAGTCAAAAAAACTGAAAATGAGAAATTGTATGTAAATATTTTGTTGTATTTAAATAGTAAAAAAAATCATCAGGAAACTGATGATTTATGGCAAACCATAAATCATCAGTTTATTGAATGATGAATAATTAATGGGAAATCAATATGTCATCAGGTCATGTTAATATTTTGTGTAATATGTGTAAGCAAATTTTTCTACAAAGGATAGCAGCATTTATACACAGGAAACAAGTTAGTTTGGTAGTCAGGGTTTAAAAGATCTGAGGTCCTTACCAGGTCTTCTCGTGACCCATAAAAGTTATCAGTGTTTTATATAAACTGTAAACACCCAACTGAACCGCAAGGGTCCTTCAGAAGTTATAACATCATTATAACATCATTAAATAGGAACTAAAATGAAATGAAATGAAATGAGGGTGTGATGGAAAAGTAACGTACCCCATCCTGACGAAGCAGAACATAGGGCATTTTACACCTTATACCAAAAAAAAACAAAAAAAAAAACATAGGTACCATAAAATATGAGGTTGTGTCAAAACAACAGAAATACTCCAGACATCACTGCACAAAATCCTCCCCAAAATGTGGTTTATATATTCATGTTTAGACCTACAAAGCACATTTTTAGCATGCAAAACTACAAAACTTTAAGATGGGACAAGCACATTCTTTATATAGAAAATACATGTTCAGTTTTATTGAAGTAATACAAAAAAAGAAACAGTTTCATGCAATTTAAATATTGGGATTATGCCCAATTTCTTCACAAATTGGGCTCTTTTGAAATGAATAATCTTGAGCATAATTTGATGGTTGAAGTTCTGATTTCCCCAGATCTGGGGCAACTCCCGTAGTTGCCATCCCTCCTTTCACGTCTATGTTTAAAGCAGTCAATGTTATTTTTTCTGAAGTATGCGCCTTCAAAGAATTCATCTCTTTTCTTTGAGCTGTTTATGGCGAGTCACATATAATGTGACAACGAAGGGGAAAGCCTGATGCTGGGCTTTGACATATTTAGCTGATATTTATGTAATAGCCTCATTTGTGATTTAAAGGTTCATTTAAAGTTTCAGAGTTCAAGCTGCTCATTCTTCAGTATCAATGACAAACTTTTAATAATTCTTAAGACTCCCAGCCAATCCATATCCCTTTGGGGATCTCACCGAATTAAAGCTTGGACATCTTACAGTTCAGGCTTTCACTTCAGTTCAGACCGGGAAAAATAAATCCCTTACTCTACAAGCCACTGGATTGGAAAAGAACTAAATAGATTTTTCCTTCTCATATGAAACAACATCTTGGCGAGACCGTATTTTCTTAATAGCTTTTCCTTGAAGACAAACTGTGCTTCAGTACAAAACATATGCAACCAAGAACTAGGACACAACATGTTATTGAATGATGAATAATTACATTATTCCTCCTGCTCACATTTTATTTTCACCTTCGGGTGAAAGGCGGAATCCACTTATGCAAAGTCAACTTAATGTGGCTGAAATGAAAGGAAAAGTAAGCATATAATTTCATATTGTACACATGAATCATTTTCAGGGTGTTGTCAAGGAGTCAAATGGTATCTCATTATGCATTTGCATGCAGCAATTAATCCTCCTTATTTTCACCCAAAAACAAACGCTGAACATTTCAGTGGGTAATTCAGAAACAGATGAAAGCCTTAATAGCTTGGGTCTGAAACAGAACACTTCAATAGTCATCATCATGATGACAGCCTCTTAAGAGAAGTAACACATAGTGCATTTTTGTTTGTTCATGGAAAAAAAAAAAAAAGTTTTGTATTTATTCTCAAAGCTCGGAGTTTAGACGGTCTTTATTTAAATCTGTTTATATGATCAAATCAGAGACTACTCAAAGGAATTCTTCCACTTGCAGCTATTCAAACACAGCCCCTACGCCTTGCACTAAAAGTCTTCTTACAATGCATACCTCTTTTTTGCACAAAAAAAGAGGTATGCATTGCATAATGAGGTGTGGGGATCTCTTCTATCCCCCACACCTCATCAGAAGCCCTGCCCATCAGTGATGAAGGGAACAGAAGGAAGCAGGGATGGAGCAAGTAAAGAGGATGGATAGATCATGTCTGACCACAAAAGAGTTTGGTTGCCCAGGGCTTTTTCTCCATCAGGCTTGTCTGGATCCAATATTCATTTAGCTTGATGTATTCCTGGGCTTGAAACTTTAATGTGATTTGTGGGAAAATCCAGATGGCAAGTTCACGGATCAACGCTGCTCCCTGACAGTGCTGGTGCCAGCGGCCGCCTGCACAATAACACCAATTGCCTCAGTGCTCCCCCAACGCCACGATCGCTCCCACCACGAGACCCTCCCCCCATTTCCTTATCTGTATAACTACACTGCATACCCCAGCTCTACCAACACATACACATACTTTATTTTTATTTTATATTGGTGTGTCAGTGCTGAAGAACTGAAGAAGAAACCATTTGAGAGGCTGACATTCAGCTCAACTCTATTGGTCTTGCAATCTCTTGTATTTCACTCTCCTTTGCTCTCTGTGTTTCTGTCCATTCTCTTCCTTTGCGTCTCTTGTTGCTTCTTACTCCGTCTTTGTACACATCTTCTACTGTCTTACTTCATTACACTCACTGCTACTCCTACCACACACATCCATGTGCCCCCTGACTTCCCCCATCATCCTTTGGCTCCCATTCACTCCATCACTCACTCTCTTCATTCCCGTTTCTTCACCTCTTCTGCTCTCCCCTACATTGTCTCCTGCTGAGTGCGCATTCAGATATCAGAAAATTCATGCCCTGCGTTGCCCTGTCTGCTACTATGCAGAAATGATGTCACGTAATAAACGTAAATCTATCAACATTTGTTAGAGCATTGTCAAAATGAGCAAAAGTATGGGAGCCCGCAGACTACAAATAAAGAGAGAAACCAATCAGATATAAAAAAACATTTGTCTTGTGACTTAGCAAGCTTTTCTAGGTTAGCGCAATAACATGTGACAAAATTGAAAATGATTGAACCATAAAGCTAGTTTATTGGATTATGAGTCAGGCATGTGTTGGGGGAAACACTAGATACTGGAGTATAGGTGTTACACTTACCATCATTTAAGGGGAGATGATGAAATGAAAGGTACATATTGCAGCAGCTTTGCTGCTATTTGATAACCTCTAACTTCATGCTCTGTCAGTGCAAATAATTCTCTTCAATACAGATGCCTAGCTTGCTCTAAATAAATAGCGCTGCAAAACGGCACATAATCATATTGCATATAAGCTGATAGATTTCGCTTCTCATATTTTGATGGATATGGACCCACAAACGTTCTATGAATGCTAAAAGCGAATAGTGACTTTGCCTTTTCATTATGTCTCTTTCATGTGTGCTTTTTCATCTTTTTTTTTTTTTTTTACATAGTGACAGATAGGGAGTGTAGGCCACAACTGAGGCTTGTAACTGCTTTGGCAAGCATTTGCCTACTTACTGGAATACCATGCTCCGCCTCATAAGTTACAGTTTCATTAAAGATTAATTGACCATTGTGTAGCTGCAATTTCACAAAATAATCATTACTTAATCCACTGGTGCAATAAAGTGCGTTACCTCAATGGGGGCATTAAATTACCACAGGAGGTTATTGTTGCAGCTATAATACCATTCCAAAAAGCTTTGGACAAAAGAGACTCCTATGTTCACGGTTGCACAGGCTTTCTTGTTGATAATACATCCTTGATGTGGAAGGGGAACATAATTTAAAATGTTGCTGCATTTGCCAGTTTTCACATGCAGACTCCTTGTCTTTACGTATGAGGTAGAAATGCAGCTGAAGAAGCTATTTATCCACTTTTCTTTTTTTTTTTTTGTATTGAGTGTGAGGTGTGTGTATTGGGCCAGACAGAGGATAACATGTTCCACTGGAGCTGTTCTGAGCTCTCAGAATATGTTAGCATTTTTTAAAGTTCAGAATGAGCTGTACTTAGCATTCAAACAGATAATGTGTGGTGTGTCAGTGCAGAGTAGATTATCGTAGATTATCATAAGTGCTCTAAGCACTCGAGTAAGCAGAAGCTTGTGTTGTCAAAGAGGACTGTTGACTCACAATTTTGTAATAGTTTTATTTGGAAAATTCCTGCGGAACAGGAAGTTTTATTGTTGGAATAATGCTGTCTGTTTCTTTTTGTAAAATGTCCCGCTTAGTTTTAGGATTTTTATAGAATCCTTATGCTCAGAAAAGGAATGAATGTATTTGAGGGAGCCGGATAACACAAACAGATGCACACAGCATCTTGCAAAACTATTCACACCCTTCTTTTCACATTTTGTTTGTTGCATTCAATTGTGATTTATGTGATAAAACACACTAATGCAAAGTGAAAGGAACATTCATAATTTATGTAGATCTTATTTTTATATGTATGCAAAAAATAAAATGAAATGCGTGGCTTGTAGTTTTTTTTTTTTTTCATATCAGTCTCCCTGATTTTACTTTTTGTTGCAGTAATAACAGCAAACATAAATATGTGCTTGATCTAAACCAGAGATGTTTTAAGTGCAGTCTGCCATTCGGAGCCATCGGAATAATTTTGTGTTGCCCTTGACTGCAGCTTAAAAATGGTACAAATTGGCCACCCAGCAAAGGTAGTTGATGTAGATGGAAACGTTTTGTGATTATTATTATTATTATTATTATTATTATTTTTTTTTTTTTGGGGGGGGATGACAATTTTATGATGCATTTCTATGATCTTAAAAATATGGATAGTTTTTCCAACTGTTTTGAAAAGAAAAAGTCTCAAGGTACATGTTCTCTTTGATTCCAGGCAAAAACAAAACAATGGCATTGTCCTGCCAGGAGGTGGCAATAACATTGGCAT